TCGACAGGAGAAACATGCAAAGATAGTAAGAAAAAGGCTCCGGGAACGATCTGTTTAGTAATTTTGACTATTTGGGTTTTTTTGTCTTGCGATTTGCTTTAAATTTGCTCGTCCAAAATCCGCCTGTAGGAGGACACGCCCGACCTGACACCAGAGCCCGGGCCGCTCGGGCCGCTCGTGCAGAACACAACGGACAGTGGTTCGGCCATGCTCCGCCTCCCGGGGGGGCCTGCCGGGGCCTCGGGAGCGCCAAGCAGCGGCTCGTTATAGTTTCAGGCGATCGCAAACATGCTGCACGGCTCGTTGTAGTTTCAGGCGATCGTTATCGACATAGTTTCACCCCCGCGCTCGTGACCTCTTACTGCCTTGCTCGCGCGCTGCACGGCACGCGCGTGGGACACCGCAGCCTTGTGGCCTAGAAGAGGACCTAGAGTCTGAAGCGCGTCGCCAGCTAAAAGTGGTTGAGATCGGTAATGCACTTTGGCGACCGCGCGCCAAATCCATGGATCGCTATTCCATGTTTGCGTGCCCCCGATCATATGAGGAGTTGGTCTTGAGGCCAGGGCCAGGGGATGGGGACATTCAGATGTCCACGTTGTGACGAGATCGCGGCGTTGAAGGTCTGGTACGGTGCAGCGTTCGTCGTTCCGGAGATGCGAAGTGTGAGAATTCAATTCTTGGTCATGGGTCGTTCCCGAGAGCGTTTCGGGCAAGTTTCGACGGCATACGATCGTCTGAACGCTGGCTACTTCGAGGGCCAAGCCGTGGCAAGCCTTGAGATCAGCGTCGCGTTCCTGGCCGGAAGCCCGCCAAGCTTGGGCCCGGTCGAGACGTGTCGGAAATCTCTCCAAGCGGCGCTACGCGCTCGGTTCAGCCACAGTCGACGGAGAGCGCGAGGTCATGCAGACCCCTCACCTTCGCTGCCAAATGCGCAGCGTGGCCTCACTGCGGGGGGCATCGACGATGGCGAGCCGTGGGCTGTTGGACTGGAAGGCATCCCAGCACCAGAAGATCAGTGTGAAGAGTCGGAACTTGATATTCCTTCTCGAATATTCTTATAAGGAAAACCCCCCCCCCCGTACATAAATTCGGCCCCTCGGACGTGAAAGTCGAAAGTTCGGATTCGGACCCCCTCCAGGCCACCCTGCGCCGCTCGGCCGGGCCCACGAACGCTTCCCGGACGGTCCCGGGGAGACCCGAGACGGCCCAAGATCGCTCCGGGACGGCCCATGAGCGCTCACAGAGGGACCACACACGGCCCAAAAGGCTCCCAAGAGGTCCCAAGAGAGCTCAGAGAGGCTTCCCAAGAAGGCTTCGAGAGACTAATTTCGTCAATTTCGTCTAGTTTTTCCGAGTATTTGGCCGTTTCCGCTTTCTCCGCTTTCTGCACTTCACGACGGCCCCATAGGCCCCCAAAACCGCCCAAAGGAGGCACAAGAGGTCCCCACGACAGCCCCAGGACGGCCCAAGACGGCCTCAAGACTCTCCAACGAGCGCCCGGGACGAGCCCAGGAGGCCCCAAGACTCCCCCAACAGAAGCCGAAAAGGAGGAACATGACGCACCAAGAGGCCCCCGAGAGGCCCCAGACTCTCCCCAGACGCCCCAATCAGGTCTCAAGCCCCCGAGAGGCCCAAAAAATGCCCCCAGGGATCCCCAAAACAGCCCCCAAGACGGCTCAATAACGCACCCAAGGGTCTCCCAATGCGGCCCCAGGAAGCTACAGTCATTAACATCCTTCGGAAATAGATACGCTTCCACCTCATTTGTGCCCTGGGCTTCCACGACGGCAACAATGAGTCGACAAGACGTGCAAGCTCCGCGAGCCCCCCTATGAGCCCTATGGACCCTATGAGCCCTATGCGCCCTACGACCCCTACGATCCCTATGAACCCTACGGGCCTTATGAGCCCCATGAGCCCTTTGAGCCCTACGAGCCCTATGAGCCCGATGAGCCCTACGAGCCCTATGCGCTCTATGAGCCCTATGACCCCTACGAGCCCTATGAGCCCTATGAGCCCTATGAGGAGCCCTACGAGCCCCATGAGCCCTGTGCGCCCTATGATCCTTACGATCCGTGTGAGCCCCATGAGCCCTATGAGCCTTATGAGCCGTGTCAGCCCGATGAGCCCTATGAGCCCTATGAGCCCCGTGACCCCGGTGAGCCCTATGAGCCCTATGAGCCCTATGAGCCCCATGAGCCCTACGAGCCCTATGAGCCCTGTGAGCCCTATGGACCCACTGAGCCATATGAGCCCTATGAGCCCTACGAGTCCTGCGAGCCCTATTAGCCCCATGAGCCCTGCAAGCACTGTGAGCCCTATGGGCCCCAAGAGCCCTATGAGCCTGATGGCCCCTATGAGCCCTACGGGCCCTATGAGCCCTATGCGCCCTACGAGCCCTACGAGCCCTATGAGCCCTATGAGCCCTATGAGCCGTACGAGCCCTATGAGCCCCATGAGCCCTGTGAGCCCTACGAGACCTATGAGCCGAGTGAGCTCTACGAGCCCTTTGAGCCCTACGAGCCCTATGAGCCCTATGCGCCCTATGAGCCCAAGACGGCCCCAAGACAGCCCCAAGACAGCCGAAGACACGCCCAAGACAGCCAAAGAGAGTTCCAACAGGGCCGCAAGTCAGCTCTAATCCTGCGGTACCACTGCTCCCTTTCTGCATGTGCCCTCTGTGAGCTACATGAGCCACATGCTCCCCTATGCTGCTACATGACCCCCATGAGCCCTACGAGCCCTGCACCGTCCTCCGGAAGTTCTCGGGCTGACGAGCCCTACAAACCGCACGCTGAAGTGGAGGCAGGACATGGCGAAAGAGCACTGCCAAGCCCGTCCGGTCAGGCCACATCCCTGCTCGAATCCATGCGCCTCTGCAGCGTCCTCGTACTTTACTTCGCTCCCCTTCTCCCCCTCTCTCTGCCTTCTCTACCTCCCTCGTGTGCTTCTCTGCATATCCTTCTTCCGCACATTTGCTGCTCGCCCAATCCCAGTGGCCACTGACGCCATGCGACCAAGATTTTAAGGGCGAAGCGAAGCGAGCCGGTAAAATCTTGTATAAATATATATATATATATATACACACATATACATATACATATACATATACAGATACATATACATATACATATATATATATGTGTTGTAGTAGTAGTAACAACAAGGAGGCGGGCTGAAGCCCAATCTACTTCCAACGCCTTCCTACTTCATGTTAGCACCCATGTGTTCCGACCGGCGTGCAAAGGTGCTGCGCTAAAGGGGGTCTTGCCCACCCCCCGAAAGAGAAGGGAGGCACGGCAGAGGGCGACCTCCCCACGACGGGGCGAGCCAGCGGTGGGAAAGCGGCACACTCTGCTCGCATCCCTCTCGCTGGCACGCGGGAGGAGACTGCAAGGAGGGGAGGGGGGGAGGAGGAGGAGGAGGAGGAGGAGGAGGAGGAGGAGGAGGAGGAGGAGGAGAAGGAGAAGGAGGAAGAGGAGGACCAGTGGAACTCCAAGAGTCATCAACGATGTTGGAGTAAACCCTCCCTCCAAGCTCTCTCGTCACAGGCCCCTGCAGCGGTTCACATCCACTGAGGGAACTGCCTCATTGGAAGGCAACCGTTTGAAGACCCTGAAGCATGCCAAAACAAGTTTATCGGGATTCCAACGCCACGGATCAACCTGACTGTTGCGTCTTGACGATCTTGAATCGTGTCAGAGCGCTGTTCCTTAGACTTTAACACAGCGAATCAACGAAACTGTTGCGCCCCCATAATCCTAAATCCTAAAACACAATGTTTGGGATGCTGATCATGGGAATCCGTGAAACGATCGCAAAGTTGTTTTCCAAATTGAAAATGTGCGCGGCGCTGAGGCGAGAACCACAGGTTGAAAAGAACCGCCCTCAATCCGTGAAACTCTTGCAGGTGGTGAAAGTCAATGTGCGCGGCGCTAAGGCGAGAGCCACATGTTGAAAACCACCCGCCATCAATCCGTGAACATGTTGAGAACCACCCGCCCTCAATCCGTGAAATCCTTCCACATGTTGAAAACGAATGTGCGCGGCGCTAAGGCGAGAGCCACATTTTGAAAACCACCCGCCCTCCATGTGTGAAACTGTTGTCATGTTGAAAGGTTCAGGGTCATAAATGGTTCGGAAGTCTCAGTCGAAACGCCCGGCCCACGCTAAAATCGTCAGGTTTGGAGTGCGGCAGATGGAAGGACAGACAATTGCATCAGCGTATAAACTCCCGGAGCGCCGCACGGATTTCTCCCGTCGGCATTGGACCTCTTTTGTCTTGACGCGCGAAGCGCCGCCATGGGAGGGCCAGCGCCGACTTAAAGGAGTTCTCGCGGACCTCCGAAAGTTTATGTCTGTGTAGCCTGTTGTTGAGCAGGGCCGAGGGTCGGAGAGCGCCCTGCCTCTGCAGGACCATCAAAAAAGGGGCGTCAAGGCGGTCAAACGCCATAGACGTCCGTTTGGGATGTTCTGCAGACCGAACCCCCCAGCCCTACTCAAGCTTGCTGCACCTCTGGTGGAGCCGATTGAGAGGAGCTTGAGACCTCCTCGAGAGTGCACCACCCGCAGAGCCTCCAAATGCCTCCAAGCCCCCAGCGTCCGTGCCGGGAGACTCTGGCGCTGCCAAAATTGTGTGCCGCTTGGGCCTCGCACGAAGGACGAGGAGGAGGAGTAGGAGGAGGAGGAGGAGGAGACCCTCCTCCCCCGCCTCCACATCGTGTCCTGCATGATCTCGGAGGTCGAAGCGGAGGACTCGGTCCTTATCGCCCTGTATCTCGTTTCCTTCCTGAGTTCAGGCATCGAACTCTGGGCCGTTAGGTAGCGAGCGAGAGAGCGAGGATAGACGAGGGGGAGGTGGAGGAGGAGGAGCAGGAGGAGGAGGAGGAGGAGGAGGAGGGGCCCATTCCCTCTGGGGTGCGCAAGGGTTGCGTGGCGCCTCCTCACCGCCCGCCTCTTGGGGGGGGCGGCGCCCCTCACCCCCCCCCCGGCGGGCCGAGGTCAACGGCGACGGGAAGATCTCCGTCGAGGAGCTCAGGCCCGCCCGGCAGCGGGGCCCGTGTCTCGGCGCCTCCGGGGGCGAGGCGGCCTCGGCGTGCGCTGTGCGAGGGCTTCCGGGTCCGCTCCTGTGGGGGCCGCCGATCGGGGGCCCAAAGAACACACACACACACACACACCACCACCACCGCGTCGATTCCTCCTCGCCTCCCTCCTCTCTCCAGCGAGAGGGAGCTGGGGAGGGAGGTGGTGGTGGTGTATACTCTTGTCAGCGAGCGAAGAACGGTATAACATAAACTTTTTCGCCGTCGGGGACACCTGCCCCTGGGCGGCTGGAAAGTGTATACCCCTACGGTGCCACCGTAAGGGTATAAACTTTCCAGCCGCCCTGGGGCAGGTGTCCCCAACGGCGAAAAAGTTTATTTTATACCGTTCTTCGCCCGTTAATTTTGGGCTCCCCGATGCCGATGCTCGCCAGGGAGAGAAGGAGGCGGGCCCCGGGGGAAGCGGGTGTCCCGAGGTGGCTCGCCGGCTTTGCGGGCTCCCCGGGGCCCTCCGCGGGCCCCGGGGCCGCCCGGAGGCGGCCCAGGACGAGCGGGGGCGGTCTTGGGGGAGGGCCCCAGGGCCCAGGATTTAAGTCGGGCCTGTCCCCCATACAGGGGGATGTTCGACGAAAAAAAAAAAAAAAAAAAAAAAAAAAAAAAAAAAAAAAAAAAAAAAAAAACGGGGGACTATCTTTTCAGTATTTTTTTACCTTTTGGGGGAATTTCTTTTTCGTGGAAAATCCCCCTGTATAGGGGGACACGCCCGACATAAGCCCAGGACCCGTGTCCCTCAGGACCCGTTTTCCCCCACGATTTTGGTTCGATCCGGCTTCAAATTCCGATTTGGGCTCCGATTTCTCAATGCAGGCCTGCTGGCCTGCCGATTCCCTCCGATTCGACTTCTCCCAGCTCGGCTGCCGATGTCGTCGATGCGATGCATGTCACATGATTCATGTCGATCGCCGATACAACTCATCGATTCGATTCTGGGCTCCCCTGGATGGGGGAGGGCAGAGGCAACGCTAGGGGGAGGGATGGGGTCAGGGTCGCCCATTGATCGCCGATATGGGCCTGTTAGCCCACCCCGCCCAGGAGCATGCGGCTTGCTACCTGGGCCCTCTCGCCGATCTATCGGCGACGTGTCGCCGATCCCAGATCGATGTTCCCCCCCCTGAGCCAGTCCCCCCCCCCGATCGTTGCCCCTCAGGAGGGGGGGTTCAGCCGGCACATCAGGTAAGAGCACATGTGTTCGTCCTCTGGCGACAACAGGCGTTGCCGAGCGGGAAGGGGGGGAAGGGCAGGGGGGGGGGGGCGGTCACGTCACGATTCGTGCTGGCGCTCTCTGTGAGTTAGCTACCCAAAGCCGTTCCCAGACGGCGCCGGCATGAATCCTGACATTACCAAAGGTGGGGGGGTTGGCCGTCCCCGGCAACGCCAGATGCTTGGCATCGTTCGGACGTGTGCATTTTTTCTCGGCGAAAGCCCTCGAGAAACATCTGGGACCATCTTGCGAAAGATACACGCGAGGAATCGAAAAATGCACAAGAAATCGCCGTCCGAGCGAGGGCTGGGTCAGGACCGCGCCGCGCCGAGACCTCCAGCGCCTTGAAAAGTCAGAGCGCCTGGATTTTGTTCGACGCGTTGGCGTCTTGGGTCCGTCTCTCGGGCGGGGCCCGCGTCGCGAGTGATCCTCGGCGTCGGAGGTCTGCGAAGAAGAGGAGTGCAGAGGAGAAGGGAGGATTCTGTTGAGGTGTCTTAGTTTATCGGAGAACAAACAGACAGCACAAACATAAACTTCCAGAGCTCCGCGCAGAATTGTTGGAACCGTGCCGGACACCCTTGGCAGCGCCTCCGTCGCCGCCCCTGGCGCGCTCCGCGCACCAGGGAGGGGATCCAGCGCCGATCCAAGAAATTCGCGCGGACCTCCGAAAGTCTATATATGTTTCTGCCGTGCGTGTTTCCGGCTCGAAGAGGCAGGAGGATGCTCCAGGGGCCCCAGGGAGGTTCTCCGAGGTGTTGTCGGGAAAGTGGGTGGGCTTGGTGTGGCGGGCCTGGCCGTGGGCCCGACGGTCCGAGGCTGCGAGCACTCCTGGCGCGCGGCCCCCCCGGTTGTGGCGGGGCACGCCGGCCCTCCGTGTGCGTGTATCTCCGGCGCGCGGCTGCCGCGTGCTCCGCACGCAGGCCGAGCCGCATGGAGTCGTTGCTCCACGGCGCCCCGACGCCCGAGACAGAGGCATCACCCGAGCATGCGGTGCATGCGCGCATGCCAGCGACGAGGGGGTGGTGCAATAGATTTGGTGTAATAGACTTGTGGTGGGGTTGCAGTACCTATGGGGCGTGCAGTACATTATGGGGCGCAGATGTGTTGCTGGATGTTTGCGTGCAGTGCATTATTTGCAATACAGGGCAATACAATGCTCCGGCGCGGTACATTTGCAATACAATTGCCCCAAATCTATTGCACCACCCCCTTTCAGCTGGACCCCCTTCTGGGTCACCCAAAGTGATTCGAGCCAGATCGATCTGTGAGGGTCGGTGGATGCGGAACAGGGGTGAGCTAAAGGCGATGCGAGTTCATTGGTTCCAGAGTTCGCGCTGTCGCTGCGGCGGCTGAGGCTCGGCTCGCAGGATTTCGAGGCTTCGGCCAGAGCGAGCACACCGGTGCCAGGATGACCACCTCTTTGAGTCCTGACGCGATGCCGACGCGTGGAGCCCAGCGCGCGGAATCTCAGGAGCATGAAGCCCTGAGTGAGGTTTTCTGCGTGCCGAATCCTCACGTGTGTCCACTTACGTGTTGAACCCTGTGCGCGGAGCCCGATGCCTGAGGAACCCCATGTGTGTGTGTGTGTGTGGAGTCCCATGTGTGGGCCCCCGTGCCTAGACCCAGGCATATTGCGGGACACTGCTTCTGGAACCCCAGGTGCGGAATCCCATCCAGCTGCCTCCAGCAGTTCCGCCAGCGGTCCAGCGCAGCAGCCTGGGCTGCAACCACTCGAGAGGGCACTGGGGCCCGCTGCGGGCCTCTGGGAGCAGAACGCTCGACCTCTGAGTTCGTGTTCCCGCTCGGGGGCCCGCCGTGGAGCCGCCTTGGCGCCTCCTGGGGCCGCCGTGGAGCCCTCGGGTGGACGCCTTGGAGCTCTCTTGCGGGCCTCTTGAACCGCCTCGGGGGGATCTTGGGGGCCTCTCTGGCCCTCTTGGAGCGTCGGGGACGGCCCCAAAAAGAGGCGAGAGCGTGAAAAACATGTGGAAAGCTGCGGGGGATCAGTGGTGGTTGCCCCTCGGGGCCCTCTTGGGGGCCTCGTGGCGGCTTCTTCCGGCCCTCCTGGGGCCTCCTGAGCCCCCCTGGAGCGGAAGGCTTGACTTGTCGGTTCGTGTTCCCCCTCCTGGGCCCTTCTTGGAGCCGTCTTGGGGCCATCTTGGGCATTCTTGGGCGCCTCTTGGGCCTCGTGGGTCGTCTTGGGACGTGAGAGGCTCGAAAAGGCGAGAACCCGAAAACATTGAAAAACTTGTGTGTGAAATCAATGAGTGTTGCATCTCGAGGCCCTCTTGGGACGGCTTTGGGGCTCCTCTTGGGACGCCTCCACGGCCTCACGGGCTGTCTTGAAGCCATCGTGGGCCGTCTTGAGGCCAAGATGGCCCGTCTTGGAGCGATATCAGGCCGTCTTTGAGGCATCTGGGCCTCAGCACCGCGAAGCTGTCGTGTTTTGTGAGGGATTTGTGGCCCCACGAAGAGGGGACGATGCATGCAGCCCGGCGCTTCCCGAGAGGGCGGGCTCCTTTTTTGTGAAGAATTGTAGAAACCCTGCCAGACAGCACTTGGAATTCTAGTTGAAAAACGTGGAATGCTGAGCAATTCATTGGTTGAAGTCCTGAAGTGCTGTTCTGAGCAATTCATTCGTTGAAAAACGTGGAATGCTGAGCAATTCATTGCTGTAGCTGAATGCTGTTCTTGCCGAAGTCCTGGAAAATCAGCGGTCTGCTGAGCAATTTTCCATGGATGTGTTGAACCCTCTGTGTGTAAAACCCGATGCGTGCGGAACCTCATGACCGCAACGGCCAGAACCCCGTGGCGGCAATCGCGGGACCCCGGCGCACACCCCACCGAAGGCGGCCAGCACCTCAGGCGGCAGCCGCGGGACATGGGCACACCGCCCCACCGGCAACGGTCCAAAGGGCGGCAAGGGGCGGCACCCTGCAGCGCACCGCCTACCGGCCACGCCGCTGGGGATGGGGATCGGTGAAACGAGACTCATGGGTCACTGGATGCGAAAAGCGTGTCGTCCGCGAAAAGGATGTCCCGGATAACGGCATGGTCCAGTTCTGTTGCGAGTGCGAGGTGCGCCAACGCATCGTGTAGAAGAAGAGAATGTACGGCTATTTCAGGACATATGAGAACAAAGGACACCCTTGAACGATACCTGCTTGTTGAGGTACCCTGCGGGTGAAGAGAAGGGCCCTTTAGCTTGGCATCGCTCGGACGTGTGCATTTTTCTTTCGGCGAGGACCATCGAGGAGCATCCTTGATCATTTGGCGAAAAACACACACACACACACGAAACCGAAAAAAACACAGGGAATGGACGTCCGAGCGATGGCCAGTTAGGGCCCATTTTGGAGCCAGCAGGTGCCCGGAAGGTGCCCTGAAGGCCCCCTTTGAGGGCCCTTCTCTTCACCCCCCATTTGGGTCACCCCTTTCGTCCGCCCGACGGTGGCAACGGGCAGATCTCAGCGTCCCGGGCCGGTTCCTCAGATCGCAAGCAGGAATATGTTCAGTAAATGGTGGTGATGGCAGTGAAGGGTGCATGGGCGACGGCCCGCGGTCAGGTGAAGGTTGCAACGCCAGCCCAAGTCGCCACATTACGACGCCGGGCTTCTCTGCCGTGGAAGAGACATCATCGTTGCAATCGTCTTGAATATGTAGCCATGTTGACCGTCATCGACGTTAAGTCTTCGCGCGATCTCCCATCGTCGTCATTTTTTATCATCGAGTCTCCGAGCGACGAATGGGTTCCGAATGCCTCCGCAGAGTGCCGGGTTGTGCCTCTGCTGGGCAGTCGGGTCACCGAGGGCGGTGCTCAACAACGGGGGCATCGACGACGTGGTGAGCCATCAGACGATCCCCGAGATCCTCAAGCAGGCTTGGCCAGCCCCGTACAGCTCATTACATAGCAACGCGTGTTTGTTGGTTGTTGATTAGTGTGGTGTGGTTTTTGAGTATGTTTGCTGGCGGCGGCGGTGTGCGTTTGTTGATGTAGATTGGTTTTGGTGTCTTCTGGGTTTGCATATGTTTCTGGTAAGGCCAACCCCTAGTAGGTGTCAGATTTCGTTGGGTAATCTGTGCGCTCATCTAAAGTGGAGCGGAGCGAGCATGGCTTTCGCACCCCGTAAGTTGTGATCGCTGGATGCGGGGACGAGCATTGCGATTCAGTTGACTCTCAAAGGAATATTCTCGGGATGCCAAACACTCCCTAGGGCGCCCCCAATTAGCACGCTTGTCGGTCTCGATGCCAGGGCACAGAGAGTATCAAAGTTTGGGAGGGCCTTCTCCGTAGTCGCGGGCTTCCGGCTTCCTCGATCAGTGGTACTTTATCGGGATGCCCGTGGCGAGAGGCGGCATCGCCGCCGTTGGAAGCATCGAGCATCGACAGAATGGGCCGCACTATTAGTTCGTCCGCCGCTCCTCGCGTCGAGGTGGACAAGGACGGCGACGGTGCCATCGATTTTGACGAGTTCATGGCGATGCTGCGCGGTTCTGCCGAGATGGGGAACATCAACGCGCAGCCAGGCAGGGCCGCGGTTTCGCCGTCGTGCGCGCAGAAGAGAAAGGCAGCAGTATTAAAAAAGTACGTGTCCATTTGGTTACACAAGTTGCTAGTTTGTTGGGTTTGTTTTTTTCATTTCCGTGCCCATCACTATACTGCTTGATTATCCGTTTGGGCGGCATGGGCGTTTTGCCGAGGCCGCGCACGCCAGAGGGCAACATGTTTGCCAGCGTGGGCCACAGCACAGCGGGTGATTGCACTCGATGTGCACCCCAGGCGGTGCAGTCCTTGGACTGCAGTTATTTGGACCGAAGTCGAGAATTCTACTGCCACCGCTGGTGCAAACGTCCCACCCTCCCACCGGCAACTTGTTGGCAAAGCTAATATGACCATGATCTCAACGAGCGCACGGGCGCGTGGAACTCGGCCAAGCAGACGAATCCGTCCTCCGGGTTGCGAAATTGTGGTGGCGATGGTGACGAACGCGACGCCAACGACGATGGCGATGACAGTGGTGATGACGCTGATGCCGATGGCGATGAGAGTGGAGATGGGGACGACACCATGCTGACGACGGCGATGATGATGGTGATAACAAGGATGGTGACGATAATGACGGTGGCGACGATGACGCTGGCGGTGTTGATGACGATTGTTTTGGTGATGATGATGGTGATGAGGATGAGGATGAGGAGGATGAGAAAGTGCCCGCGCGCAAAAAGTTGACGGAGGCGACGATTTCAACGATGCCAACGATGACGATGCCTTGGCCGATGGTGAAGATAATGATGACAATGAAGATGGCAATGATGACGCTCACGATGATGACTGCGATTGCGCGGACGAGGATGATAAAAAATTGCCCACCCGCAGAAACCCAGACACCGTGACATGTTTCGGTTCTGCACGGATCATGGGGTTTTCGTGGTTGTCCGAGCATCTGCGCGTTGAGATTCAGCGAGCGAAGAACGGTATAAAATAAACTTTCCGCCGTCGGGGACACCTGCCCTTGGGCGGCTGGAAAGTTTATACCACTACGGTGCCACCGTAAGGGTATCAACTTTCCAGCCGCCCAGGGTCAGGCGCCCCCGACAGCGAAAAAGTTTATTTTACACCGTTCTTCGCCGCTTAAGAGATGGCGACAACACCGATGGTGTTGGACGGAGTTCGGCATATACGCGCACGGAGACGCGCGCGCCTGTGGCCCCGCACGGGGTGGTCTGACCGAGTGCTGGTGGTCGCGCGATGGCGGTGGAGCGGTGCGGCCTGCGCGCGCAGGTGGCCCGCGTGGTCTGGCTTGACAGCGCTCTTGGAAACAGGTGGTTCCCGTAAGAGTTCGGCGGGCCCGCGCGCGCAGAATTCTGACAATTGCTGCGTGGAGAGAAGCCTCGCAGTGTTCGATTGGCCATGTCTCGAAGATGAGCTGCATAAGAAAACGCATAGCTGTTGAAGGAGCTTGACGTGTGCGCGCGGCGGCGCCCGCATATGCCCCGAAACGCATTGGACGCAGGGAATGATTAGAAAAGCACGTCTCAGTTCAATGCATGTAAACCGCATTGTATGTGTTGCATGAGATGGCGGGGTGGGGGGGTCGGTATTGGCCTGGCTGGGATGGTGCCAAGTCAACTTCAGGATAGACGATCGTGCAGAATGATGTGACAAAAAACCCGAGATGTACCAGTAACCCCGGCCTCTGAGGGGTGGGGTGGGGTAGAGTTTGATTCGTTGTTTCAGAAGAACGAGCCCACGTGATGCAACAATAGATGTAAAGTGTTTGTGTAACGCAAGCTGTGTGGTACAGGCTATGCGGTGCACGCAGTGTAGTGCAGTTACGGTGTGCGACGGATGAGCTGTAATTTGCGTGATTCACGCGGCAGTCTATGTCAACGCTCAGGTAGAAATCCCGCTAACCCACCCCCAAGTTGATGGCAAAGCCCAAGAGCCGTAGACACGCTAACGGCGATGTAGGTAACGGCGATGTAGGTTTCGATATTGTGGGAACGCGAGGCTCGCGCATTCCTACAACTCGCTGTGTCGCTTTCGTGCGATATATTTGCATACAGGGAATGTAGGAAGATGTGTGGATCGCGATTTCCTACGCATTGGTCCTTGGAAGAGGCCTGAGGTTCAGCTACCCCGGCGGAGCCTGGCAGCACATCCTCCAACGAGGCGCGCCAGGGCACGCGGACTCTCTCCCCATCGGTGCAGATCGGCGGCTCGGGCGGGCGAGGTGCTGACGATGACGTCCGCAAGGGCAGCGAAGATGGCGAGAGTGGCGCGGGCGACGACGACGACGACGATGTTGATGATGACGATGATGACGATGATAACGATGACGACGATGACCATGACCATGACGATGACGATGACGATGACGATGACGATGACGATGACGATGACGATGACGATGACGATGACGATGACGATGATGATGATGACGACGACGACGATGATGATGATGATGATGATGATGATGATGATGATGATGATAACGATGATGATGATCTCGATGACGATGACGATGACGATGACGACGATGACGATGACGACGATGACGATGACGACGACTGTGATGATGATGATGATGACGATAGGTGGCGGCGATGGGAATGAAGATGATGGTGGTGGTGATCACGTGATGGTGGGGGACTCCTCTAGCCGTCTTACGATGTCGCGAGTGCGTGCGTGCAGAAATTCGGGCATGACCAATAAAAAAGTAATCGCCGTGCTTATACGTGTTCGGAGGGCTTCATTTTGAAATGCTTGAACGTTGATGCTTTCTAACTATTTCGGCAAGCGCGGGCGGGGACGCGCGCATGCGGTCCGCAAAGACTGCCCAAGAAGCCCCAAAGAAAGCCTGGGACAGCCCCATTGGACGTCGTCGGCCATGTTGGAAGCTCGGATTCCGAACCATGCTTCTAAAGTGTGGCACATGACTCATCCAAAAGCCTCTGGGAAGTGCTGCGCAGCACCTCAGAGCGCCCGGGAACTCTCGGAACGCAGGGGTCTGGGCCTGTTGAAGAGCAGTCACGATATAGATTGAATTGAGAGAGCCCGAGGGGACTTGAGGCTACTCCGCTCGGTGCCTGACGCTGCGGGCCCTCTGGCCGGGCCTGCGGGGCGAAGAGGGAAGGGGAGAGGCGCACTGGCAGATGTGCGCTCAGAGCGAGCTTAACTAGACGTGCCCAACACGCATGATCGGAAGACACGCCCCCGCAATGCTGTCGATCCGGCTGCCCGGCGGCAGCCTGAGAAAGAACCGGCTCGCGTCACAGAACACCAGCTTTTGGTCACGTCGCTCCTGAGTTGCATGCATGTTGCCCCATCAGTCTGACTGCCTTCGTGGCTTCGTCTCCTGCCGCTCCGTGTCATGCATCGTTCGTCTACGCATGCCGGCCATCCCCCCGAAGGCAGTGGTCACGTCGTGGCGCTGGCAGAGGCGCGTGGCCGCGGCTAAGACCCGGCCACGCTGCGCGTGTGCGAACTTCTTGCCCCACGCGCGCACAGCTTGCAACGCGTCGTGCCCTAACGCAGGCCACTCTGGGAGGGCGGGGTTGTCGGTCGAGCTCCTGGAGGAGCTGCATGCAAGGCTCTCACGAGCGACGTCGCCGGCGGGCGAGGGGGGGGAAGTGAGAAAGGGCGACCCTTTTCAGAAGGCTCGGAAGTCCCCCAGCCGTCTGGGAAGTTTCCCCTAGGCCTCCCCCGAAGACACAAAAATAGCCTCCCAGGAGGCGCGAGGGCTTCTGAGAAGCCCCGCCACCTTCGGAGAAGGCCTTCTCCCTCTCGCTTCCCCCCCTCGCTCGCCGCCGAAAGCGAGGCTCTCGCGGGCGATGAGCACGTTCGTACCCCTGCGCTCGCAGTCTGGGCACCGAGCCGCGATCCCAACGGGTGCGCGGAACGCGCGGGACCTCCGCCGCGTCCCCCAGGGCCGCGGGGCTGCGGCTGGAGGGCCGAGAGGCCGTGGACACGACGTGTCTCCCGCCAGGAGGAAGAGGAGGAGGAGGAGGAGGAGGAGGAGGAGTGCTGGTGCACGTGATGCAGGCTTAAGTCTGGCACGACTCCGGAGGAAAGAACTCGTCCTGGGGGAAGGCCCCGGGGTCCAGGACCCGTTTCCCTCCCTCGAGGCCCGCTTCCCGCACGCCGAGACACGACAGTGCGACCGGGCCATGAGAGTGCACGGTACGGCAGGTTCGCGCCGCGTTGCCGCAGCGGTGACCCCAGGTGCGGGCGTTCACGTTGGAACGCCGCCAGGGGTCCAGAGTCGGCCGACAGCGAACGATCTGCCCTATCGTTAAGTCGGGCCTGTCCCTCTACAGGAGAAAAATTCAAAAATAGTTCAGAAATTGGCTGGGGACCATTGTTCGATCTGCTTTGACTATGTTTGAGCATTCCCCGCGGATTCTTCATTTTCCCTCACTAATCCGCCTGTAGGAGGACACGGCCGATCTAACCCTAGTGCTGTCGTCAGTTTCAGCTACGGTTTAATTCGTCTCGCCCATGCCCTCGCGATGATGGCACAGGGAGAGGGACGCGCGCTGCCACAAGGCCGGCGCTGACGTGCCTCATCGGCGGACACGGGCAGGAGGATGTGAGGAACGAGTGCGAGGCGGTGAGGCATGCTGTGGGTACGTACACTGTGGGACCCTTCGGCGAGATTTCTTGGAACCCATGACCCAGCGGGCGAGCGTACGTCTTACCATTGCCCTCTTCCCTCGTCAGGGAATGAAAAGTACAGTCGGGGCCCTGAAGAAGGAACCCTTTTCGTTGGGGAGGGGCTCCGCGTTCCTTAAGTGTTTCGCAGCTTTCCTCAGGTTGTCCCTAGGTCTTCGATCGGGAATCGAAGTTTAACTCATGGAAAAAAGGGGCCTCGTTCCTTATTTTGGGTTCCTTAGGTCAAGGCCCCGACTGTGGCCCCCGATCGATGTGCATGCTCCTGAGATTCCCACGGAGCGCATCCGCTGCGAGCGCGGCCTGAACAGGTCGACGCCCGTCGCCGGGCACCTTGTGGGCCTGCCTCGCTTCGGGCGAGGGCCCCGCTGTGGAAGGCATCCCCCGTGTAGGGGGACAGGCAGGCCCGACGTACAGCCGGGGCGCTGCACAAGGAACCCCTTTTCGTTGGGGAGGGGCTCGGTGTGCCTCGATTGTTCAACTCTTTGCCTGCGGTTATCCTCAGGTTTTCCATGGGAAGTCGAAGTTTAACGTATGGGGAAAGAGGGGCCTCGTTCCCTATTTAGGGTTCCTTAGGTCAACGCGCCGACTGTAAGGCAAGGCGTGCGGGCAGGTGCGGCCGCACAGCTCCACGAGGTGCCCAGCGAGACCACCGTTTTGAAGCATGGCCGCTCCAGTCAGGAGGGAAACAAACACACAGACACCATTAATCGTCCACTCCCAGGAACATATGGGAAAACATGGGAAGTGGGCGGGAAGACAGAAACCCAGAAAATATGGGAAAATATGGGGACTATTTTTATGTGTGTGTATTGATTTGTGTGTCCTGGGGCCCCTTCATCCAGAGCACACGCACACGCACATCAGAAGTGAGGTGTGCTGCGCTTCGGGAGCTCGGCGTGTTCCCGCCTGGGAGCAGGGGACCGTTGGCCTCGAGCTCGGCAGTCCTCGGGGCAGAGGGCCACGTTCCTCATGCCCGGCGAGGCCCTGAGCGTTTCGCAGAGGACTGAAGAAGTGATGCAGTTGGCGATCGGGAATCGAGGCGCTGGAAATTTGCTCTCGAGGTCGTCGTCATTGCTGGTGATCGAGGACCGAGGTTGTCATGTAGTTCTGCGCCGCTTGGGACGTTTTAGCGGGCTCGGGGCTTCGAAAAGATTCGGGGGGCCAAACTGCGCGGCGACCACACCGTTCGGTGAGTCGATGGGGACTCGGGGTCACCGCACGGTTTCAGGACATGGGTCGATCTCCGAGGACAGCTCGGTCGACTGGGGCCTTCTGGGTCACAAAACCGCGTGGTGGCGGACCGTGCGGTGAGGTCGTTGGGGGGGTCTGGGGTCACCGCACGGTCCGTCACCACAATTTTGGGGCGCCGAAAAGATGCTGATATCGCTGCCCTTCCCTCGTCGTCGCGGCTGGATTCGCCTCCAAATCTTGTTCAGAAGCGCCCCTCAAGCTTCTGGGGGCAGGAAGAGCTGCATCGTTATTACTAACGTGGCCTTGCAGGACCTTTGTGGCCACCCACTCTGAAGCGCCTCGGCAGCATCCGAGACATCTCTTTTCAATGCCCCGTGGTCCCCGAATCTCCCCTCCGAACGCAGCCGACGTCGAACATTGATTGCTGCGTGCTGGCACGCTGGGGTACTGAAAGGCGTCGGGTGTCGGGACGACTCCTATCTTGCGGGACGGGAAAATGACCACAGCCACTGCTTCTTGTTTGCGCCGCCTTGCAGCCGGCCGAAAAAGAAGCAGTGGTTGTGGTCATTTCCCTGGTGCCAAGCTTAACGAAAATGACCACAACCACTGCTTTGTTTCTGCTGGCTGGAAGTCGGCAACAAAAAAAGCAGTGGCTGTGGTCGTTTTCACCTCCCGTATATCTTCCGCACGGGCTAGTTAATAACGCGCTCCGCACCTGTCGGACGCGCGACCGCACAAAGCTGCTGTGCCGGAAGGGCGGGGCGCCATTGCTTTCAGCAGCTGCACCGGTGCGGCCAGGCAGCGTGGCTGTGGGAGCCTGCACGATCTTCTGGGCGGCCAGCGAAGCCAGAGCCCAGGCCATCATCGGCGGTGGAGACGTCGGCCGAGGAATGGGCTCGTGAGTCGCGAGACCTGGGCGCATCCCTAACGAGAGCGCGAGTGCCGTCCGCGACCACTCGTTTGTTTGCAATCTGCCGATAGTGGATGTTAGCCAGCGTGGACCTCAAACAGTGTGTTTCTAGCAATACGTGTGGTATAATCTTTGTTTGCAATTCATTTCTGTTCGCAGTTAGTTGTCAACTCCACTGCTCGCACAATCATCGCGCCCACCCGCCCGCAACCTGGTTTGCAAAACCCATGCGGCTGCGATTGTGATGAATGCTTGGAGTTGGCTGGTTCATCTCTGCGGCCGCGCTAGCCCGCGCATGCTCGCGCGAGCAGCAGCCAGCTAGCTTGGCGCGACCGACGAGGCCGCGGTGGCGTTGACCGCTGGGCACTTCCCCGCGGGCATTTCAGTGCGAGTCGGTGATTTGGCCGGGCGCGGTTTCATGACAACGTCGGCAACGGCAGACGCAATGATGACGGGAGCGATGCTGGTGACGAGATGACGATGACGACGGCCAGGCCAGTGTCGGCGCTGATGCTGATCACGCCGACGATGATGATGGCGTCCTCGCGTCGGTGGTGAAGGTGTTGGAGGGGAGTTCGACATGCGCGCGCGGCCGACGCGCGAGAGTGGCCCGCATGGCGCAAGTTGACACGGATCGCGCCCCCGCCCCCCCCCCCCAGGCCGCGCGCAAGGGCGTTCGAATGATTTCGACGTGCGGCGCGGAGGGCCCTTTTGGCAGAATGTAATGAACATGTTGAGAAAATTCTGGCTGCCCGAAGAATTCGCAGGAGCGCGAACGCAGGCATCTTTTGAAATCCGACGTTGCAAAACCACGCATGCTTTTATAAGTTTTTGGAACATTTGATTTTGGAGCCCTTTCGACACGTAACGTTCTTTTGTTTTTGCACATGTCGTCATGCGCGCGCGACGACGCGCGCGCGTGCACTTCGCCCTTTCGCTTTGCAAGGGGCGCGTGCGGCAGCACGCGCACAAGAGCGTTCGAGCGATTCCGGCGCGCGCGCGCGCGAGAGGCCCGTTTGGTAGCAAAATATGAACATGTTGAAAACGCACTCTTGCATTACGAATTCGCAAAAACCCGAGCGCAAGCGCTGCTTGAACATTTTAGTTGCGGAACCACATGTTGTTGTATGTTTCCGGGGCGCCCCAGTTCGAAATCCTCACGGAACGCGAGGTTTTGAATGATTTCGGCATGCGCGCGCGACGACGCGCGCGTGTTCATTTCGTCGTTTGTTGGAACGTATTGCGACAGCTGCGCGAAAAGGGCGTTCAAGCGATTCCGACATGAGCGCGCGAGGGGCCCGTTTGGTAGCAAAGTGCGAACATGTCGAAAGACCGATCATGTGTTTTTAAGAATTCGCGAGAGCCCGAGCGTAAGTTTTGCTTGGTGTCAATTGCGGCGAGACTATGTTTTTGTAATTTGTTTCCGGGGCTCGGTTTGAAATCCTTACGGAATTCAGGATTGTTGAAGGATTTCGGCATGCGCTCGCGACGACATGCGCGTGCGCATTTCGTCAATGTTTTGAAAAGGATTTTTGGACATGGATAGTTGTTGATAAAGAAGTGCGCGCGCATAATTTATGTTGCAGAGGACGGGGGGTACCGGTTCGGGCCTGCTTGGGATGCTACGAGTTCATGTTTAGGATGGACGATGGGGCAGAATCACCTGTGAATTGCAATACGAACAAGGTGCCGTTAATTCCAGGGGGTCCGAATGTTTTTTGAGGAAGGAGAACCTGTGGGGAACCAAAAAGAATACATATATGAGTGTGAAATACAGTTATATTTATAGAGTACAAGCGAACTATACATACATTGACATGTATATATATATATATATATATATGCCCAGTGCAAGATACGTTGTGCAACATAAGTTGTGCAGGCTGCGGTGTGCAATTTATGTACTGCAACATACGTGGAGCAAGTTATAGGTTGTATCGTATATGTTATGCCGCCTAAGCTGTGCAACATATGTCATGCAAAATAGGTTGTGCAGTTTACGGTGTGCATTCCCAGGACAGCCTAAGTATGAGGTACAATGTATGTTGTGCGATGTGGAGCAGTCTGTGGGAAGCAATAGATGTAGTGCAACCTACGTTGTACAAACGATGTTGTGCTATCTATGTGGTGCAATATACGTGGTGCAATGTACGTGGTGTTATGAAGATGTGAATGTGTATATATTTATGCATATAGATGTACGTACCTATGTCTATGCACGTGGCGCGCATTTTATGCTGTGCAGTGTATACGGAGCCATCTGCGTGGTTCAAAATATGTTGTGTAATAGTTGTTGTGCATTTCTATGTGGTGCAATCTGCGTGGTGCAGCGTTTGTTGCGGCGACGGGGCGGTGACAGGGCGGCCACATAGCCGCCAGACCGACCGTCTGACCCAAACCACGGGCGGCGACGGGACGGCGATGGCGGCCACATAGCCGCCAGAGCGACCGTCAGGCCCAGACGACGGTCGGTGACGAGGCGGAGAGTGGGCGGCGACGGCGGCCACACAGCCGCCAGACCGACCGTCAGGCTCAGTTCCTTAGAAGAGAGGTAAACCCCTAAGTGCAAGCACTGTCTGGGGAGCAATTAGATCCCCTGCCCATCGATTCCTCACCCAGCGCGGAAGTGCCGCGGCCTGTGCGTTCAGTCAAGTGGGCTTTCGTTGCGCTTCGTCGGAGCGGCTCCGCCAACGTCGGGCGTTGCAGCGACGTGCGAAGTGAGGGTGCACTTGGCCCCCGGGCTTCGCGCCTCTCCTTAGCCCAACTCTTGTCCATCCTACGCACGACAGCGGGATATGTTGGGCCTGGGGCGATGAGGCACACTGATTAGGAAAGCGTGTTCCCAGGAGGTTAGCCATGACGAGTGGTTCGTCTTTGTTGGCCGCCGCCCCTGTTTAGTGGCCTGCCCATTTTCCTTTCGGACCGTAGGGCAAAGCTTCTGCGGATCGTTATGTCATTCCTGCTTGAAATGCAGGCTGCACGAGCTGGGGGAGACCAAAGAGGGCAACCTAGTACTACGTTGCCGCACGAATTACTGCCAGCAAGAAACAGTTGTCGAGTACGTTCGCATGCATGCTAGGTTAACTCGATTTCGTTGTCGTTTCCCCGCGAGCACCCACCGTGAATTTTGCGAAGGCCTTACGGAGACCTTGAAGGGGGACGACGACGACAACGGCGGCGGCGGCGACGGCGACGACGTTGACGTGGGCCAGAGGGATGCTTCTTGGGGTCTCTTCGGGAGGCTATTGGGGGCCTCTGGGGAGGAATTCTGGGGCCTCTTCAGAGCCTCTTGGGGGCCTCTTGAGAGCCTCTTGGGGCCTCTTCGGGTTTCCTGGGGACCTCTTGTGGGTCTCTTGGGGACTCTTGGGAATATCTTGGGGCCCTCTCGGGGCCGAGGGCTCGAAATGTCATTTTGGGTCCCCCGTCTGGCCACGCTCTTAGAGCCGTCTTGGGAACCTATTGAGCCGTTTTGGAGGCGTTGTGGGGTGTCTTGGGGTCCTCTTGGGTTGTTCGGGAGCCTTCTTGGAGGCTTCTTGGGCCGTCTTGGGGCAATCTTGGGGGCCTCTTGGGCCGTCTTGGAGCCGCGGGGAGCGGAAAAGGCAAGAACGCGGAAATCATCATTTTTGCTTCGTGAGGCCTTTCTCGGGAGTGCTCTTAGAGGCTTCTTGGGACGTCCGGGCGGCCTCCTGGGCAGTCTGGTGGGCGTGAAGGCGTTTTGGACCGATAGTTTCACGATTCGGGATCCTCTTGGACTGTCTCAGGGGCCTCTTTGGGCACTCTTGTCTTGTCTTGGTACTTTAGGAGGCCCCAGGACCTCCAGGGGGGCATGCGTATCTGACCCCCTCCTGGTGAACCCCCCCTCCCCACCCCCCCTCCCGCAGACGGGGGAGGGATCAAAGGGAAGGGGCTTCTCTTCGACTCGATGACGACACTGCTAGATTCTTCTCTCGCTGAAAGGCTTGAGGATGAGGGCGCAAAGAAAAGTGACGACGGAGACGACGACTGACGGAGACGACGGCTCAAGCAGACAAGCCCGTCACACACGCCGACAGGGTCGGTGGATTCAAGAATCTGTATCGCATCCAGTCTCGACTCAGCATGTTCGCGTCGATGAGATTGCCTGGCGCTTTGCCAGGAACGCGGCCTCGGTTGCATGCCGGGTGCGTGTGTGTGTGTGGCTGTGTGTTGACAGGCCGGGCATCCAGTTCGAAACATACACTCGAGCACCTTTCGGCGCTCCAGCTATCCTGAAAAATGTCCTGGGCCCTGGTGCCGCAGCCAGACCGGTAGGCATCCCGACACGTACCCTCGGGCGCTCCAGCCAGCTTGGGAAGTCTCATCCGGTGTGCTCACCTGGGCGCCCCAGCCAGCCGCGGGAGCGCCCCGGCAGGTGCAGCGGCGCATCCGGTTCCGCCGCTCGGCACGCTCGCAGCCATTTTGGCTCAGGCGGGCGCCGCACTCCCGGCCCGCAGGGCCTCTGCCGGAGCGCGGCAGGCGCTCTGGCCTCGCTCCCCCCCGTGCCCGCAGAAAATGCACGGCGGGGGGCCGCACGTCAAGGCGCGATGGGGCCCCGGAACACTCGGCGGAGGGAGGTCGCCGGCCCTGCCAGGGGGCGCTCTTGCAAGCCATGAGAGCGGCCTCTGCGGGCCGCTTGCGAATGCCCCAGGGCCGTGGCTTCCTCGACCCCGGACGAGGCCTCGAGGAGGTCGGGGCCCCTGGGGCCCCCTGGGGGTCGGGGGGTGCGGGAAACGGCTCCTCGGACGCCTGGGGCCCCCGACCCCCTCGCGCTATGACAAGATCGCGGCTGGAGGTTTCTCCTTCCTCTCGGCTTCTGGGGGCCCCTGCAAGAGAACGGGGGACCGTCATAGAACGACTCGAGATGACAAACACCAGTCCTGAGGAAGAGGCCCAGACCTCTTGGGGTCGAGCCGCTGCGAGACGGTCACGACGTCGGGGGCCTGGGGCCCGTGGAGCGCAGGCCGAGGCTTCCCC